TTTGGGGTCTTCTGATACCTGATCCTGTGAACACCTCGTGTTCACACAGGCTGGTGTGCTTCTTCCATGTGGGCTTCGTTGCTTCCCTGCTAGATGGCCGCTTGTTTAAGTTCAAGCCTTTAAGACCCCAGATGCTATATCTTCTAATAGCCAGACACCATCAGCTTTCTTCACCACATTTGCTTATGCACCCACTTTGACTTCACCGATTGTGTAGGGAAGGTGAGCATCACAAAATACCAGGTTATTAGAGCAAAGTGTTCTTGTGTTGAGGTGGGACTTGAGTAGACAGATCCAATGCCTGTCTGCTACTTTGATACTTAACATATAATTATATGTACATAGACCTATATCCCTGTAGTTATGTATTAATATTTACATATGTACATGCCTATATTTATACCTCTGTAAATGTCTTTTGCCTCCTACCTCTTTCCTCTATTTCCTTTTACTTTCCTCTTGTCCCACTGTCATGTTCTACCTTCATTCTGCTCTCAGTAATTTCTCTCAGCTGCATTACACTTGATCAAACCCCACCAGGCGTTCTACACTGTCCTCACCATTGATTTTAGATCTCTTGTTTTCCTTTGTCCCTGGGTTTGTTAACATCCACTTCCTTTCCCCCACCTCTCCCTCTCCCCTGTTCTCCCGGAACCATTGATCCTGTTGTTTTCTTCTCAGGATTGTTTGTCATGCCTATCTTATATAGATAGACATTGTTCTTTCATTTCTATAACCTCCACCTCCAGTTTACTGTCCATGGCATCTTCTTTCCTCTCCAGTAATACAGAAGTACTCTGGTACCCTGAAATCATCAGGCTAAAAGAGTGTTCCTGGGTATACTAGAATTCTGCTTGGATTTATTTCTTCCCAGCTCTTGGCTTTCTTTTCTACAAAAGACAGATGTGCCCTAGAGGCAAATGATGATCAGATGGCAGCTGTGCAGAAGCAGCATCATTTTCCTGGGTGGTCCTCATTAGGCCGCTTACCTGCTTTTTAAATTAGCTTATCAGATCAAGAGCTCAAAACAAACATTTTATTGTGTGATTCCTCTCATCAGTCACCAAGAATGGTGTCTGTACCACATCAAGGGAGCAACTCCCTCCCTTCTTGAAATAATCTCTGCAATAATCGTGGGTATTTACTCAGATAAGCTACCCAAAGGGCCTCAGGGTAGAGTTGTCCCTCACTACAGAGAGCAAGGAATCTAACTGTCAAAAGATAACTCATTTTCTGAGTGGAAATGTAGAATCTTTTTAGTCTTGAGAATTTTATTATTTCTGAACACTTTAATTGCCTATGTCCTTATCCCAGTCTTCCATCTTGGCTAACCCCAGATTGTGACAACAGAGACCTGGCTTGGTAGAACGCCATCTCCTTACTGGCCTGGTCTTATAGCACTGGATCCATGCCCCTCACCCCCTGCCCCACAGAACTACTCACTCAAAAGAAAGCCAAAACCTAAAAGTTTCCATGTACTCCGTTTTTCCTCAGCCTTCATATTGACTCATTGACCAAACACTGAAGAATCTACATTTTTTGTATCTTTTTAATCTAATGCCTTCTCTCTACCCCTTCTGATATTGAGTTCCATTCTTCATCCTTTCTTCCCAGAATGTTACAGTAGCCTTTCATTCCCAGCTTCTCCCATCAGCATCCTTCAATTAATTCCTCATACAGCTAGAAACTAAAATTACCCTTTCAAAAGGCAAATTTAATCATGTTATTTACCTGTTAAAAAACCTTCATGGAGATACTAGACCTTTCGTGGCATTCTAAATTGAGAGCTCTGTTAGATAGCTATAGAAGTTTGGAGTGCTGGAAAGAGGTTTGTGCTGAAGTTAGAAATTTGCGAATCATCAGTAGACAGATGAATTTAAACAAAATACAAAAGTATATGAGATTGTCTAGGGCAGTACTGTCCAATAGAACTTCATACAGTGATGGAAATGGCTGTCTAGAAGGTAGTCACTAGCCACCTGGTGACTAATGAGCAGTTGAAATGTGACTAGTGATGCTGAGGAACTGAATTTTTTATTTTGTTTAATTTGGGTTAACTTAAATAGCACATGGCTAATGGTCAGAATGCTTAGTAAAAGTAAAATGAGACTTTTTCTCACATATTTTGGAATCGTATTAGGAGGGACCAGTCCCTGGAGAAGGACATCATGATGGGTTGATTCCAATTCATCGTGACTCTTCTGGACAGGCTAGAACTACCCTGTGGGTTTCTGAGACTAACTATGTGGGTAGAAAGCCTCATCTTTCTCCCATGGAGCAGCTGGCAGTTTCAAACTGCTCATCTTGCAGTTAGCAGCCCATCGTGTGACCACTACACCACGAAAGCTCCTCTGATAACGATTGCAGGACTCTGGCAACCAAGCAGGAGAAACTGAGTAACAGGTTGGCATTGAGCTAGCCCATGGATGAAATTGACATAAGTCAGTGATTAAATAAGAACAATGTGAGAAGGTTGGAAACAGAAGAGAAGGAACAATAAGTGATCGCTTAAAGTTTTTGACTTGGATGTTGTGTGGAGAGTAGAATTAAACATTATTAAAATGACCATTTTTGTTAAATAATTAAATTTTTTAAAGTAGCCATGACACATGATTTTATTTCCATATTTTATCAACTGATTCCTTCAAGATGTTTTAGAAAGAAACAAATAGAAAATAGATACAATATGGTTTTTTGTTTATGATTTACAGATACACATGTAGGCATGAATTGATTAAATATATTTCTGCCTAGTCTTATGCTATAGCCTGTAAAACAGATGCTTCTTCTTGATTGGTTTTAAATAATGCTCAGTAAGTGATTTAACAAAATTATTTGCTTATGATTAAGTAATTGTATTTCCTTTAGATAGCATGAGAAAAGAAAAACAAGCAAACTTTTACAGTTTTGAAAACACTGCTCTCCTTGTTTATCATAAGGAGCTAGTAGGAGAACCTCACACTTTGTAATGAAGCCATTTTGATAAACATTGAAACACATTAAAGCAGCACAATGTGACCCAAATAAAGCCAGTGGGGGAGCTCATATATTAATATCAAAACTATGCCCATAGATTTCTTTCTTGCATGATTTCCATGGCATCTTTTTTTTTTTCCCCCTTGTTCATCAAAAGATTCAGAGAAATTATTTTTAAGAAGAGGTGGTTCCTAGAAATGTCATTAATCGGAGCCCCAGTTTTCTCATACACTCAAAATACTACGTGTTTTTGGACCCCACGTTATGGGGACCTCCAAATATACCGGTACTTTCCAAAATGCTTTGAGGCCTTGGATAGAGGCCATTGTAATGACACTGTACTGAGTACTTGACAAAGGGCTTATCCCTGAAAGAGATGTGGAGTAACGCATGAATTATTGCTACATTGATGTATCAGAGTGAGGCACTCTGCTGCCTCTTGAATATAAAAAGAATATTTCTGCATTTGGTCCCAGCAAACACCATTGTGCTATTCTAAAATCCACAGCACAGAAATTATAAGACATCCGCTCATAAACAGAAAGCAAATCACTATTCAGCATTTCCTGCTCTGTTTCCTGCCAATTTCAGATCATTTAAACTTTTTAAAAAACCTTTTATTCCATTCTGCTTTAATTCTGCTTCGCCACCAAAAAAGAAAGATTTAGAAATTAAAACTCTGCATATAATAACAACAAATGTTTTCACTTTTTTTAAAAAATATATATATAGTCCTGTGCTGTTAACTCTTTCTTCATGATTCTAGGCCCCAGGATATCATTGTGTTTGTAATCGGAGGCGCCACCTATGAAGAGGCCCTAACAGTTTATACCCTAAACCGTACCACGCCTGGAGTGAGGGTTGTCCTGGGAGGAACCACAGTGCACAACACAAAAAGGTAAAGGAGAACATTCAGAGGCCTTCAAACTCGCCTCTCTTCCAGAAAAGAAAGTTCAGATTCCTTTTGTGTAGAAAACGTTTAGTCAATGCTGACCAGAATATTGTTGTTTATAGTATCTGTTCATAAAAGAATTTGGAGTTTGTGTCAGAGGAGTTTGTGTCTTAGGTTCGTAAATCACTTTAATTAGCTCAGAGAATTCGAAAGTGGAGGCCAACCTGTACTAGTAATCATTTATGTTTCCCATGTTGAAAGGAAAAGAGCTGTGGTGGTTTAGTGGGTGCATGTTGGGCTGCTAACAGCAAGGTCAGCTGTTCAAAACCACCAACCCCTCTGCAGGGACAGACAAGGTTTTCTACTCCCATAAAAGTGACTGTTTCCAGAACCCACGGGGCCAGTTCCATCCTCTGCAGCAGAGCCACGGTGAGCTGGAGTGGACTCGATGGCCGCGAGTTTGAGGTGTTCAAAGGGAAAATTGAATTGCCACAGATTGGCACTTTGAAAATGCCTGCGACACAATGGTGATGAATTCTGTAAGGGCTTTTGTCTGTTTGTTTACTTGTTGTTCATCAACGTATTCATCCATGAGTAGTAAGAAGATTACAGAGAATAAGGTAAAGATCCTACCTCATAGAAGTCACTGTTTATGAGAAAAGGTTTTTTAAAATTATTTTTAATAGTATTTGGAAAGACAGATAAAAGAACCGTAGATTCTCAGAGTAGCCAAGGGAAACTAGCAAAATGTCTCGTGAAGAAGATACCAGATAGCCTAAGTAAGCAGTCAGTAGGAAAAGGACATATGGTGGGGAGCACCTTCTAGGCAGCATCAACCATGAACAAGTCATAGATAGCTGTGGGCAGCATGCAAAAAGAGGAGTACCTAGTTATCAGTTAGCTAGAATACTCACAATAAAGTAAAATAAATTTAAGGCCAGAATTGTAGAAAACTTCAAATTCTAAGCTGACGAATGTGTACTGTATTGGGTAGAAAATAGAAAATCATGTAAGGTTTTTAAGCTGTGAGTTACATGAGGATCATGGTGTTTTAGAAGAGTTCGTTGTCAGCTTATGGTAGAAAAGGCAGGAAGGACGATATCAAAGAGCTTGACATTATGATTGAGTGTAACGTCTGGTGACTTTTTCCATTGAGAGGCATGGAGATGTGTCTGCTTTTTTCACTTTGCGCTAGTAATATTTGTGGGATTTGTTGTTATTTTTTTTAATATAACTTTTTTCCCATTGTTGTGGAAATAATACTTGCTTATTCTGAATTTCTTTAAATTCAGAAAGTATAAAGATTTTTTTTAAACTTTGCATATGCTAGTCACTATTACATTGCCTTTTCATTCTTTTCTCTAAGCCTATGGACAGTTACGTGAATATGTGTGTAGAAAGGGATGTCACTGTACATTCTGTCTTATGATCAGCATTTTCTTTTTTAACATAATTTTATTGGGGACTCGTACAACGCTTATCACAATCCATACATACATCCATTGTGCCTAGCACATTTGAACATACGCTGCAATCATCATTTTCATAACATTTTTTTCTACTTGAGCCCTTGGTATCAGCTATTCATTTTTTCCCCTTCTTCTCCCAGCCTCCCTCCCTCCTGAATCCTTGATGATTTATAAATTATTTTTTCATGTCTTACACTGACCAATGTCTCCCTTCACCCACTTTTCTGTTGTCCTTCTCCCTAATCAGCATTTTCTTATCTATGAGTAAACACAATTCAGTGTTAGATATGTAATTATTCATTCATGAGACATGTTTATTTGGGGTCAAATTGCTAGGGTTTGAACCCTAACTTTTACCTCTTATTGTTGTGACTGGGAAAATTATGTAACCTTTCTGTCAGCTTCCAGAACTGATTGGCCATCTACATATTTCTGTTGCAAACTGTTAGTTCATGTTCTTTGCCTGTTTTTCTTTTTCCATTGGGTAGTCTTATTTATTTTCTAATAATTGAAAAAAATTTAAACATATATTATTAAGGACATTGACCATTTGTCTTGCTTATATTTTGTAATTCTTTCTCTCTTGTTTGATATTCTTATTTAAAAACAAACAGTATTTGGTTTTATTGTGTAAAGCTTGTACTTTAAAAAAAATTAAGTTGTCAAAGTTATCTGTGGTTTCTGCCTTCGGTGTCATGCTGAGAGAGTTCTTCCTTGGCCAGGACTATATGAAGACTGATCTCTGTTTGTTTATCTATTTTAAGTCACCCATTTAAAGTTATACCTTTGACCTATCAGAGTTTTATTTTGGTATAAGCTGTACAATAAGGTTTTCTTTGATAACTTTTACAGAAGTACTACATATACATGGAACAGTATACAAATGATAACTGGACAATGCAATGAAATATCCAAAGTAAAAACATCTAATTAATCACCACCCAGCATCCTTGAAGCCTCCCTTATGCCTCATTCTCTCTCCTTATCACAATTCTTTCAACCAAATAATACAAATATCTTAGAATAATTTAACTCTGATCATCTTGCACCCATTTTACAAATTATTATTGTCCAGTATTTTGGTTCCACCTTGTTTTAATAAACACAAATAAACAATTGTTATTTTCTATATTTGATATTTATTTAGATTTACCAACATGTTTTCCTCTTTCCTTTTTCCCCATTTAGTTTCTTTGATCCTGTCCATTACTTCTTATTTTTCTCTTTCTGGCCATTATTTCTGATCTAATTTCCTTCTTACTAAATAACATCTCTCTGTAGCTCTTTCAACCATATTTTTCAGTAATTCTTTCAACTTTTTGTCTTTGTCTAAAAATATTTTCTTTTAGCTAAGCATAGAATTCTGGGTCAGCACTGAAAAGTAAGAAGACAATGAAATACTATTTTCAATTGCTATTAGGATTCTGTTCTCAATATTGTTGCTTTTCATTTGTAGATATCTCCTGATTCTTTTAAAGATTATTTTGTCTTTGGTGTGTAGTTTCAATGTGTATGTCTCAATATGGATTCATTATTATTTATGTCACTTATAAAAATTCATGTGTGGCATAATTTCTGGACATTTGCCATCCTTTATTTCTTTGAATGTTGCCTATCTTCCATTTTCTCTGTTTTCTTCTTGTGGAACTCCTATGAAATTTATGTTGGACCTTTATTCTTCATGTCTCTTAACATCTCATTTATATTATCCATCTGTTTATCTCTTTGTGCTGCTTTCTGAATAATTTTTTTCAGATTAGTGTTCATTTCGGTAATTCTCTCTTCAGCTGTATTTCATCTTTGTTTAATTTGCCCACTGAGTCTTTATGTTCTATTTGCTTCTTTTTCAAATTTGCCTAATGTTTTTGCTAATTATCATCTTGTTTTCTCAAGTTTTCAAATCCTTCGTTTTGCTTTAACCACATTGCTTGTATAATCCAAAGTGCTTAGAAATCTAATTCTAGTATGATATCTCCTGGCATTAGCTCATGATGGCTCATTTTCTCATATGTTCTATAATTTTGAATTGCAAGTTATCTGAAAAAGAGTTTGATCCATGAGATTCCTGAGTGAAGATGTATTTCTCCTGCATAACTTTATTTTTCATAGGTGAAGTATCCTAAGATTACTATCAGCCTTGAATAATATTTTACTTTAATTTTTATACTTATGCGTTCCTGAACCATGCAGAATCACTGGCAGGATTTTGAAGCTTCCTTTTTATTTCCCCATGCAGATAAAATGTCTCAATTTAGTTATTTTATTTTTGTGTCTTGTTTTTAGTGAGGGCCTCTTCATAATGTGGGAGTCTCAATTCTAACTCCTTTTCTTTTTTAAAAGTTTTATTAGCACTGCAGCCACATGTTATATAGCTCATAATTCAGTCATATCTAGAAGAGTAGTACAATTGCACCATATTCAATTCTAGAACAGTTCCTTCTTGTCGCACTCATCTTTATTCATGTAATTTTTCTAATTGTGCAAAAATATACACAACAAAACCTTCTCCAGTTCCACTTCTTCCTTTAAAATTCAGTGCCATTGATCAAACTTTTTTGTGTTGTACAACCATTATTGGCGTCCTTTTCCAAATTATTCCACCACCACTGACATAAACTCAATGCCTGTTAAAGTAACAATTTTCCCCCCACTCATGGTAACCGCTGGTCAAGTTTGGGTTATTTGGGTGTATTTTTTTAAGTAATTTTCTTGATATAGCATTCACATATCATACTCTTCCATGGTTAAATTGCTTTTACAATGAATTGTATGTACATCATCACAATAATTTCTAGTGCTCTCCCATATTCATTGGTTGCTCTCCAAATCTCCTCACCCTCCCCGCCTTCCACCCCCTCCCCCAACATCCCCGATAAACCATTTCATCCGTTATTTACTATGTATTTACTCCTTCTGTACTTCACAAACTGGGAACCCAACAGAAATAATAAATAAATAAATAAAACAGCAAGAAGAAAATAATAATATAAAGATAAAAATACAAATAAATAGTAGAAAAGGAAAGACAACCATCTATATTTTAAAAGCCAGAGAAAAAATTCCTGTCATGAAACAAGCAAGAAATATTTGACTCTAGGACAAATTCAGGTTGGGTCAAGAGGGAGGTAAACTGACCAAGTGTCAAATTATACCCTGTTCAAACTACCATGATCAACTTTACAATAATCTCTGCCTGATAGGAAAGCCGTGTGAGTCCCTGGCCTGTGCTAGAGGGGATCTCCCAGAGGCTTAATCTGACTAGATAGCTTGAAGATGGATCTTGGGCTCCCACTGTCCTCCACAGCCTTCTAAAATTGGGTGTTCACAATTTAAGCTCTGATACTTTTCCCTTTCTCATATTTGTATTTTGTTATCATCTTTGAATCACACAGGCTGGTGTGCTTCTTCCATGTGGACTTACTTGACAACTCACTTAGATGGCTGTTTGTTTGAATACAAGCCTTTAAGAGCCCAGACACTATACCAATTGATAGCCAGGCACCATCCGCCTTCCTCACCACGCTTTGCTGTAGCACC